ACCACAGTATCTTTCTCCAACTTTCCACAGGTCAGTGTTACTTTCAGAGGCAAAGCCTTTAAAGTGCTTTTGTTCTTTAGTTCTTCTGATTTTGCCTGGCTGAATTAATAAATATTGTCTAAATCAAGAAGTAGAGGTATTTAGTTAGCGTTAACTCACGTAGGCAACAGGTGATTTAGTTTATTTATGCTGCTTTCTCTTCCATTTGTACTTCAGTAGTCAAAATTTATTAAAGAAAAAATATTATTTTTTATATTCTATAGGTTAAAGAAGGAACTCCATTAGCATAGTGGGTTATACACCACAAGGTCAGCAGTTCAAGCCTACCAGCCACTCCTCAGGAGACAGATAAGGCTTATTATGCCCATAAAGATTTGCAGCCTTGGAAACCCAATACAGGGTTGCTATGAGTTGGATAGGATTCCACAGCATATCACTACCACCACCACCACCATAGGAGCTCTGGTAGCATAGTGGTTATGAGTCGGGCTGAGAACTTCAAGGTCAGCAGTTCAAAACTACCAGCTGTTCCAAGGGAGAAAGATGAGGCTTTCTGCTCCCATAAAGATTTACAGCTTCAGAAACCCTATGCAGGGTTGCTATGAGTCGGAACCAACTCCACGGCATACCACCACCACCATAGGTTAAAGGTATAGTCCAGCTGTGGCAGTATAGGATAAACACTGGACTGAATGGTCAGTTTGAACCACAAAGTTAGTGTTCCAAACCCAGCAGCTGCTACTATACAGGGCCATTAAGAATTGGAACCAACTCAATGGCACTTGACAACAACATAGGTTAAAGGAAGTCATGGTGTGGCATTTTAGAATAAGAACTGGATTGCAAGGTTGACTTGAACTGCAAGGTGGCAGTTCAGACCCATCAGCCACTCCTCAGAAACCATATAGGGTCTCTATAAATTGAAACAGATTTGATCGCATTTAATAACTACAGCATAGGCTTAAGCCACCACTCATCTGTCAGTTTGTCATACTATGGTGACTTTCATGTTGCTGTGATGCTGGCAGCAAAGCCACTGGTATTTTAAATACCAGCAGGATCACACATGGAAGGAAGGTTTAAGATGAGCTTCAAGACTAAGACAGAGTAGGAAGAAGGGAAGATGGACTACTTCCAAATATTTCGTTACTGAGAACCTTATGAAAGCAGTGGAATATTGTAAGATTAGCACCAGAATATTGAATATTGAAACATGATGAGGAGTGCCAGAATATTTTCAGATATAGTGCCAGAAGATGAGTCTGTCAAGCTTGAATGCACTCAAATATGACTGGGGTAGAGCTGCCTCCTCAAAGTATAGTGACTACTATAACATGAGTGGAGTAAAGCTTTCAAGACCTTCATTTTATGTTGAGGCACAACTCAAATTGAGGAGAAACAGTTGTAAACATCCACTGATAACTGTAACATGAAATGTATGAAGTGTGAACATAGGAAAATTGGAAGTTGTAAACTATGAAATAGACTGCATAAACATCAACATTCAAGGCATTAGTGAGCTGAAATGGACTGTTATTGGCCATTCTGAATCTGACAATTACATGGTTTACTATGCTCGGAATGGTAAATTGAAGAGAAATGACATCACATTCATCATCAAAAAGATCTATCTTGAAGTGCAAAGTTGTCTGTGATAAGATAGTATCCATACGACTACAGGGAAGACCAGTTAAGACAGTTACTGTTTAAATTTATGGAACAAACCAGTAAAGCCAGTGGTGATGAAATTGAAAAATTCTATCAACTTCTTCAGTCTGAAATTGATCAAACATAAACTCAAGATGCACTAGTAATTACTGGTGATTGGATACAAAGGTTGTAAAGAGAGGAAGGATCCACCATTGGAAAATATGACCTTGGTGATAGAGATAATGCTGGAGGTCACTTGATAGAATTTTGCCAGCCCAGTGACTTGTTCTTTGAAAATACCTTCTTAACAACATATAAGACAATTATACACATGAACCTTACCAAATGGCAAGCACAGAAATCAAATTGAGTACCTAAACACGTTCAGGCTATGGCTGAAGAAAAATTGAAACAAGTCCAGGAGAACCAAAATATGACCTTGAATATATCCCACCTGAGTTTAGAGACCATCTCAAGAACAGATTTGATGAATTAGACAGAATGACCCAAAACCAAGAGTTGTGGGATGACATCAAGAACACATATAGGAAGAAATCAAAAGGTCATTAAGAAGACAGGAAAGTAACAAAAGACAAAAATGGATGTTAGAGGACACACTGAAAGTTGCTCTCCAGCATAGAGATGTTAAAGCAAATGGAAGAAATGAGGAGATAAAGAGCAGAATAGAAAATATCAAAGGTCAGCTCCAGAAGACAATGTCAAATATTATAATAACATACTCAAAGATCTGGAGCTAGAACACCAAAAGGGAAGAACACGATTAGTATTTCTCAAGCTGAGAGAGCTGAAGAAAAAATTCAAACCTCAACTTGCAATATAGAAGAACGAAAATCAGTAAAAAAATTATCTGCACTCCAGTTATCATAAAACATTCCTCCATGGCTGACGACAACATTGAGCATGCACATGAAATGAATCTGTTGAACAGACGAGTGACAGTGGATTATGTGGCAAATAATTTGCAAATCAGACATGGATCTGCCTATTAAAGAATCCACAACAGACTTGAGTTTTGAAAAATTTGTATTGATGGGTACCAAAAGAACTCATGGAAGAGCATATCCAGAAGCATTTTGGCATCTGCAAACAAAATTTGCACCAATACTAGAAGGAAGGTAAATGTTTGTTTTTTAAAAATCATTAATAGTGATGACACAAGTGTGGATTCATCACTACGAGCATGAGAGTAAATGGCAGAGTATTGAATGGAAACATCCTCAATCACCAACCAAGAAAAAGTCCAAAAGTCAACCAACAGCTGGAAAATTGATGCTAACAGTTTTCAGGGCTCCTCAAGGGCCAGTGTTAGAACATTATCCAGAAAAAAAGTTTAACAATCAACTGTGCTTGTTACAATGAGATGTTCACTGAAGAGCAGAAGTCTAAACTTTGGATTGAGCACAGACGACTGTTATCCAAGGGCATTGTGATCTTGCATGACTATGCATGTCTGCACATCTCTGCCTACACTGTTGACACTTTACAAAACCTTTGTTTTGAGCTGTTAAAACATTCTCCCTATAGTCCTGATCTTGCTCCATAAGATTTTCACCTGTTTGGTCCCCTGAGAGTGTCCCTTTAAGGGTAAAGATCCCCCTATAATAAAGAAGTGAAGACAGCAGTGAATTAATGGTTTACATCTCAGCATAAAACTTTTTTTAATAAGGGAATATGAAAACCTGTTGAAAGATGGACAAAGTGTATTGAAACGCAAGGAGATTATGTCAAGCTCCTTACTCAGGAACTACACTTAGTATTTTAGCATCAAGCTGCCATATCTGTAAACTACGTCTGTGAATGCAGTATTTTCAGTGTTATTTTAGTTTGTATGTGCTATTTGGTATGATTTGGCAGGTTATTTCTGAGTCTAGAATGCTAAAAAAAATATTTCTCATATAAATTAACAATAATTGCTTTTTCACATTATGCTATTTTGGTTTATGAAAGATTTCATAAGAACACTCTAATAAAACAGGGATATCTATATACATGTTCTTGATCAAGAAGTATGTGGGAGTTATATTTTCTTCTCTATGGTCAGATTTCATGGCCCCTTGAGCCACTCAAATAAAAGTTTCCCTCATATCAGGATCAAATTAATTCCTTCCTCTCGTATTTCTGATTGAACTGGCACAAGGGCAGCAGCAAAGCGTTCCGGTGTAGCAATGATTGTGAGGTTGGCACAGGACTGGGCAGTATTTCATTCTGTTATACATAAGCTTGCTATACATTGGAACAGACTTGATGGCACCTAACAACAACATCAACAACATACTTCCAGAATGTTTGCCCTTCTCAGAGACTTTCTGCTCTTGTTTAATGAGTATAATAGCTTCTTTGATCTCTGAACATAGTATATCAATTTCTATTTACCCCATTATGTTTCTTCTAGCATCGATATTTTTGTTTGCTCATGTGAGATTTCATCTTTTATGCTTCTAGATTTTTTCATGTATCTTGTGGTCCTTGATTGTCCATTCATACTTAAAAGGACTAAAACAGATCCTTTTTTTTATGGCTGCTATGATGACTATAACCTTTCCATGGTTAAGAAGGGATATGTATTTTTTGAGACATACTCCTATGCTGTGGGAAGACTGAATGGTCATCCACCCATCAAACAAATGCCACAGTGAGGAAGGTTTTACTCTGGGCGCCCCAATCAATGTGAAATTCTTAGTTTTACTCAGCCATTTTATTTCTTTAGGAAACAAAATACCTCCTGATTTTTACCTGAGTTAAATGTCAGACTTCTGGGAGCTCTGTGTAGAGGAAGGAGTAGAAATGGATAAGCAGAAGGTGAAGATGGAAGTAAGGGTATGTGACTTATACAATTGTCCTAAGTCTAGACTTCAAATGAATTGTCCTGTTTTCAGCCTCACTTCTAACTTTTCATTCTGACACAGCCTGAAGTATGTCCAGGAAAAAGGAAGATCAGCTCTCACCTCAACAGCAGGGCTCCTTACTACTATATTCCTGCATCTTCCTGAGCTTCTTTTCTGCCATTATTTCACTTTCTGCTTTGCTTTTTCTAGAATTCTATGATGTATATGGTTCTTCCTCTCTTATCTTCTTCACTTGTAAGGGTTTACTACTTTTAGTGCTATTTCTTTATACCATGATTTCATGGAAGAATAGGGCATGGGCTCAGTCTACCATTTTGAACCTGGAGACCACTCAGCCATCTTTTAACCATTTTTTCCCTAATACTATTTTTTCCTTTATATTATTACCCATCAAACATATATCGAAGAGGAAGACCTAAGGCAAGTGACCAATCTTTTCACCCAATTTTCTCTTCCCTCTTGAAATACATTAAAGGGTCTTACCCAAGATCTGAATGTGGCTCGGAGGCGTTAGCTTTTGGGTCCAACAGAAAACGTTTCTGTTTGATGTTCTTCCTATCTCTCACATCAAGCACAGGGTAACCCATCTGTCTAGTCCAGGTGTCCATTACTTCCTTCACTGGTAAGTTACTCGCCTAACATTTTGAAAACACCAGGATTAATTAATTAACATATAAGGGAAACATAAAGACATAATAATAAGAAATAAATGATTGCTTACTGGGAGTGAAAATTTGGAGACACAGTCTTCCTTACCTCTTCCAGTGCTGCCCAAAAATCTGATGTTTTTGCATTCTTGAATTTATATCTTGCCAAATAAATCTGTAAAAGATAGTATTTTAAAAGCCAAAGTTTGTGTGTTTCAACTTCCACAACATAAGCAGAACTCCTACTCATATTTCATTCTAATGTATAGCCGGTTTTCTTAAAACGAAAATCAAATTATACACATTATGCAAAATATGAAAATGTTTTATTTGTAAAGCATAATAAATATTTGTTCCTAACCAACATACCAATATATATGACATACATGTCCTTTTGTTTTTCTTTTCTTTTTTTTCAGTGTAAAAGAATTGTGACTAGAAGAAGGAAAAAGTTGAATTCTTTTTTGGAACTAAGTTGTTTTTGTTGTTAAATGCCATCAAGTCGGTTCCAACTCAGAGCTACACTGTATAGGGGTTTTGAGAAACAGCTGGTAAGTTTGAATCACTGACCTTGCAATTCAAACCAACAGTATGATAGAGTGCTTATCCTATGGTTACACATCAGAACTCCAGGAACTTAAGAGAATTGATAGTTTTGTTCCATTGATTATGAGGAAAGAAGCCAAAAACCAAACCAGCTACTGTAGAGTTGATTCCAACTCATGGTAACCCCATGTGTCTGAAGAACTGCTCCACAAGGTTTTCCAAGTTCTGATCTTTATCAACAAATCACCAGGCTTTTCTTCCAAGGCACCTTGTTGCAGGCTCATATTGCCAACATTTTTGTTAGTTAAGAGTGTTTAACTGTTCGTGCCACCTAGAAACTCACTGTGATTATGACCAGATGAATAATCATAATCATTTTTCTTTATTTGATGACATTAAATGGCTCACTATTAACTGCATCCTCTACTTTTTTTTTTTTTTTTTTTACAGTGGTGCTTTCTCATCTCAGACGCTAGGTGGCCCCATCATACATCAGTGGCTATGGTTATGTGCAAAGACAAAGCAGGTGAACTTGGCCCTGTCATAGGCTGGCAAATTTACTTGGTAAAAAGCTAGATAGCAAATGTTTTAGGTTTTGTGGGCCACATAGTCTTTATCATACATAGCCAGTCAGTTCTCCCTTTCTAGTATGAAACCAACCAGAGATAATATCCAGATATATAAGCATGGCTGTCTTCCAACAGAGCAGTATTTATGGAAAATAACATTTAAATTTCATATAACTTGTGCATATTTCAAAAACAGATTCTTTAGGTTTTTTAATCACTAAAAAATATAAAGTCCATTTTGAGTTTACAGGTCTTACAAAAATGGGTCGAGGGATAAATTTGGTCTACAGGCAGTAGGTGTTCTGACTCCTGCTCTAAGGAAGTAAATAAATACAAGAACTTTTTGAAGAATAACAACAAATGACAATCAAGGATGCATCAGGAGAATTTTTTAATTTAAAGAGGAAATCCTCACTCTTCTGACATTTTTAAAATAGACATCTTTTGAATAGAAGGCACCTCTTTTGGAAATTCAACTCACAAAATCCTTTCTATATATGCATTTCCAAATTGAATGTGATGGGCTCCCAGAGAAAATTTCGAATTTTTTCCTTATCTCATAATTGATGCCACTTGTTGATATCTAAGAACCCTTCCAAAGTTTCTGCTTTTTCACTTCTCTTTTACTTGTTAGAAACGTCCTCCTTAAAAGTGGAAGTCTTTGGTAAGAATGTTGTTGTTGTTAAATGCCATTGCGTCAATTCCAACTCATAGCAACGCTGTGTATAGGGTTTTTGAGGAGCAGCTGGTAAATTTGAACCACCGGCCCTGCAGTTCAAACCAACCTTGAGGCTCAATGCATTACTCCACAGCGCCACAACAGGACCTTTATAAGTGGTAAGAACAAGATCTTTGTAAGTGTTCTGGCTCAAAGAAAATAATCAATTGTTAGATTTGCCCATATAATTTTCACAGAAAAATGCTGTAATTTCCAGTATACGTAGGGCCTAGGTAACATTATCTTCTAAATTCATCGTCTTCCCAGGGATAGAGAGATAAACAATATTAGCAGGACTGCTATAAGAAAACTTGAAGAGAGCTGAGAGAGGTTGGAATGCTACATCCATTTTTGCTCTTTTAATTAATTCTCTACTCAGCACTACCACCAGAGGGCAGGCAAAGGAAGGAAGAGGAAATGAAAGGACATGGAAAATTTGCTGTTGTTAGGTGCCTTTGCGTCAGTTTGGAATCATAGTCACACTGTATAGGGTTTCTGAGGAGCGGCTGATGGGTTTGAACCATCAGTCTTGTGGTCAGTCCCAGGCTTATCCACAGGGCCACACAATAGAAGATTTACTCTCTATGAATTCTAAGTATTCATGGCAGAGTTTTCAAAGAATCATTCA